AGCAACCTCATCTTATAATCTCTTTCTCAAACTGAGAAAGTATCTTCTTAGAAGTATATAGGCTTCTTGCCATCAATATTTCTAATGAAAAGCTGTTATAACACTTTGGTGCTCTAATCATTAGAAACCTTGTAATTCCTGTCCTAAATGCAGAGGTGATAGATTTTATACTCTCTCTTCTGGCAAGTATGTGAGCTTAAGCGATTCTTTTCGTTGTTTTTCCTTGATGGGTTTGTAGACAAAGAAAGGTTCTCGTCAGCCTTTGTTTTGCTTGACTAAATAAGAAATGTTCTTAAAATTTCCTGTCATAAGACATTATTTTAATTTCTCTTACTGCACTTCTAGACTTTCCATGTATAGATTCAAGTCAGACTTCATGTGACTTGTGAATGTGACTTGTACAAAGACTACAGGTAATGCCTTATTGATGCTTTGAAGAATTTACTAGCTTCATTATCTCTTGTGGGATTTTCCTGGTACATCCCAGGATCACTTTCTTTGCAGAAATAGTTTCTTTCCATTTTGTGATCAGCTGGTTTTCCTCGGTTTTTCCTCAATGGTTTCCAAATAACTGACTAAAGTGAGAATTCCATAGGATTTTATTGTTTTTAATAGTGCCCTTTTTGCATGCGTATTGCTCACATTCTGGTCATTTTGTTCACTCCTCCAAAGGTTGTCTCCTGATTTCATGTCATCATCATAGTGATGCCAAGGATACTGATAAAAAACTTCAGTAAAATCAGCCCCAAGACTGATATTTCAGGAAGTAACCATTAGTGACTTTGAACCTCATACTTTTCAGCATGGTATATGACTTTTATTCAGTTTCTTGTTCACCTCATATTCCTGCTGCCAATTCCATAATTTCCAGCTTAGTTCATACTTTTCCACATCTAAAGCTGCATGGGAGTCTAAGTAGATTATTTTTGTGTTTAAAAATGGAGGCAGACACTGCAGTAATATGCTGCCTCTGCCATCACAACCCAAATCATCATCTGTCTGTTGTTTTTAACTGTTATTCCAGGTCAACAGTACAGAGGTCCTGCTGCTTTCCTGCTTGTCTTTTTGAACACGTGTGCAAACCATTTTGCTCTAGTATTTAATATCTTCAATAGAATCCTAGAATCATAAAATGGCTTGGGTTAGAAGGGATGTTAAAGTTCATCTAGTTCCAACCCCCCTGCTGTGGACAGGGACACCTCTTACTAGTCCAAGCCTCATCCAACCTGGCCTTGAACACTTCCAGGGATGGGGCATTAGTCTTCATTAAGACTATTTCAAACTTATTTTAACATTTCTTGTGTTACATTTTATATTCTAGCTTGCAAGACATAGCTTTTTTACTGATCAGTCTTTTATTCTATTTCTTTTTGACACCACATATTCATAATATCATGCTTGAGATGGTTATTTAACCAATCAGGTTTGAAGCCTATTCCTGCACTCATTCATTCCCTTGCTTCCATCTTTAACCACAATCAAATATTGTCATCTCCTTTTGACCCTGACATCCTCAAATAACATGCTTATTACATAGATAAGGCCAAAATACTATAATCTTTTTACTGTTTCCCTGACTATTAAGCAAAGAACTATTGCTGCTATTGATGTGAAAAACACTTGGATGTTACTAATTTCTAGTCTTTTGATAATTAACTTCTTTTTCCAAGTGTCACATTTCCAAATTACCCATTCTAATTGTATACCTGAATTACCAAACCATACCAAAAGCCAAATCTTGTAGTTTATACTCCAATAAAATTCCCCATTTTCCATAGATCCTGTCAGATGAGTCAATGATTGGTTTTATACACTATTCTTTTGTATTTCTAAGGTGAATAGCTCAAATCTTTTTTCACTTCCTTGCTTCCCTCCTGACTGATGAAAATTCTTGCCCTTACCTCATGACATTGCAGCAATACATCATGGCATGGTGAGGTTTAGTCACACTGTGGAATTTTTAGACCTGCTAAGGAATGGTCCAGGGATGACACATTAGAGAGTAAGAATAATGGATACTTGTTTATAGCCCTTCCTGAAAAGATCTCAGAGTGCACGTGAAACTTTAAAAACCAGTTACCAGCTATTGAAGGAATTACATCACTCAACATTGAAATGGAGCTCCCTCAGGGAAAAGGCAAGGAACTTTTTAATAGTGTACAAAAGTATTTCAACACTTCAGGAGAGAAAATGAATAATGCCATAATCAACTGAGCAGAAAGAGAATGTGTAGTAAGTAGTCATATATACTTTTTTAAACTGGATGTAGGCCAGAAACCTAGGAAAAACCTACTGCTAATGTAAAAAAATGGAATTGTTTTTTTTTCAGTCACCAATGATCAAGTTCTTTGGTTTACGTTTACAACTTAAACCAAACCACCTCAAGCAGCAGAGTTATAGGGGAACTTTCTTTTTTAATTGGGATACCAATGCTTCTTCCTTCAGGGGGCAGGAATGATGTCTGATTTCCCCAAGAACTTACAAAAAATTAAGTTCTATACAGGACTCTGTAAAGAAGCAGGAACACCACAGTCAGTTCATTATTTAAATTAGTCAGTGTCAGAGACAACTATAATTAACATCAATCTTGTCTTATCATAAGCATCTGAGTAGGTATAAATGCACCAGATCAACTCTTTACTTATTTTAAGTTATAACTTTGTTGACTTCATCAGAGCTGTAGGTACTCTAGTGTTCATAAATAGAAGACAGAAAACCTAGAGAGAACAATTATAATTCTCCTTATATATTTCAGAATAAATTTGTTGTCATTCATCAGAAAATAAATCACTATCATGGAAAATCAGGGAAAATCTGTTTAGCAAATGAAAGAGATACCACAGGCATATCTTAGGTTAGAACAGGATAAACAAAACTTGATATTATTATATTATTATATATATTGGTGTTAAGGTATATAAACACACATATATTTATAATGGCATTATATAAAAATAGTATTGTATATACATAATATATATTATGTGGTGATGTATATATACATTTATATATATATGTAATCCTATTTTTTGTGTGCTGTTTTATAAAGAAGCTCATAAATGGGTGATGGAAAGCTGCTGAAGCCAGGAAAAGACTGTCTTTCTGGAGAATAGATTAGAATGTGAGACAAGGGAAGAGTAAGAATAAAATGAGATTGAAGCTTTTAAAACAGTGAATGTTGAAAACTACATTGTATGAACTGAAAAAATTGAAACTGTAAGTGAGTTTTCAGGAACTCATGAAACTTAAAAGGCAAGAAATATAGTTTGTTTCACAGTATATGATTAAGTAATAGAACTAATTTTCAAAATATGTAAATGAAGCCAAAAGTTTCAAGCAATTTGTTTAAGGAACAGACAATAAAATACACTGACGCTTTTGTTTTAAATAAAAAACAGCTGTCTGCGAATGAGCATTTAGAGTAGGATTTATTAGATGCTCAGGTTATTCAAACATTATGTACTTAGTTTTAATTCTGATGGGGTTACTCTACATTAAAAATGAGTTCTGAGACTTCTTAGTAGAAAAAAATATTATTTTCTGTTGACTTGTTGAAGCAGGTTATACCAGAGAAACTCACTACAAAAAGTGATTCAGTTTGAACTGAAACATCTCTAAGGAAGAGGCCTAAGAACAACCAAACATAGTGAGGAGATTTGAACAGATTTTTTTTAATTTTACTATTCTAGTAAGAGGCCTCTAATTGTAGGATCAAAGTGGCAGTCAGGTAGGAAAGGGGTTCAGGTCTCTGGTCCAACCTCCTGCGCAAAGCAGGGCCGTCTTTGGGATCAGACCAGGCTGCCTGGGGCTTTCTCCAGGCAGGTTTTGAAACCCTCCAAAGATGGAGCCTGCACAAAGTAACCAGCAACTGTTCCACTGCTTGACTGTGAGAGTCAGGGTGAGAATGTTTTCCTTCCCATCCAGCCTGAACTTTGCTTGTTTCAACTTGTGTTTGTGGCTTCTTGCCGTTTCACTACAGAACTACTCCTCCTAGGTTTTTGTCTGAAAACTTGCTTGGGAGTCCATTCTTTGTCCATCCATTGTAGGACAATGGACTGGGCGAGGGTCTAGAGCATAAGTCCTGTGAGGAGTGGCTGAGGGATCTGGAAGTGGCTCAGCCTGGAGAAAAGGAGGCTTGGCGGGGACCTCAGAGCTCTACAGCTGCCTGAAAGGAGGTTGTAGCCAGGTGGGGGTTGGGCTCTTTTCCCAGCTAACTAGTAACAGGACAAGAGGAAATGCCCTCAAGCTGCATCAGGGGAGGTTCAGGTTGGACATCAGGAGGAATTTCATCAGTGAAAGGGTGGTTCATCGTTGGAATTGGCTGCCCATGGAAATGGTGGAGTCTCCATCTCTTGAAGTATTAAAAGAATGATTGGACATTGCAATCAGTGCTATGGTGTTTGGACAAAAGTTGAATTTGAGTGATGTTGGAGGTCTTTTTCACCTTAATGATTCTATGATTCTAATACAGTTTTCTTGTAAAAATATGAGGGGAAACACCTGCCATGGGGAAGATTCCCTGTACTTTCTCCTGGCTGACACTGGTCATACTGATTATACTGATACTGATACTAGATTAGGCAGGCTGTGCTTTTCACATTAGTAAATTTTTTATCTCTCTCTGTTTGTTTGGATAAATTAGGCACATTTTTCAGCACCTTCTATTATTTCCTGGACCATTTTGTTCATATAGTAAAGGAAAGCATGACCATTAAGAAACTAAACAAAATCAACATGAAATTATGGTGGTTTTTCCTGTGTGTATGAATTTTAGTATGAAAATCTAATAAAGGGATATTAAAAATGGTTTTCACTTCAAAACAACCTTAATATGTCTTTCATAATGACATTTGATGTTCCATTACCATCATGCTTCAAAAGCTGAGGGGAGGGGTGTGGGGGTCGGCAGTTGTCTACCAAAACACAAACTGTTGATGCAGCAAGCTTATGTCATTAATCACCTCAGAGGAACAACTTTCTTGAGGGTTGCCTAAAGAAAGCATCTTGACAGTGTTAGGAAAAAGACACTAATATTATACAAAACATATGTTGTCTGTAGGTGTGTATATTGTACTGATTGATGAGTGTACATTGAAAAGTTCAAGTCACAAGTATTCACATAATGGTACTTTTGTAGAACAAGTTCTGAAATCATACGTTGTCCAGCCAAAAATAGAAGAGCAAAATTTGGCCTATAATGAAGGACCTTATGACGGTACAAGAGGTGAGGAGCAGACTGCCACCAACATAAATGCTAAGGACTATGGATGGGAGGCCACATTTGCTATGACTTTCCATAACTTTATATCAAGACTTTAATTATCTTGGTTTTTTTTAAGGAAAAGTAAAAGAAAAAGATACAAAAAAGCATGACTGAAAGAAGAAACTGAATATATTGTGGGAAGGAACCTGAATAATAACATATTTCTGGCTGAATTAGCCTGATCTACAATCCGAATGTGAGATTTGGGAAGCTTTTTTTTTTTTTTGGCTTCTAAGAGTGCATAGTGTAACATTTTCATTGGACTACACTCAAATCGAGTCTTTATCCAGCAACAACCACCTCCTTAAGTTGTCCATTTTTCACACACACACCTGTTAATATATTTTAAAGGAAATAATAAAAATATGTTACAAGTAGAGACATAACATATGTCAGTAAGAATAAATGAGGGGGTGATTTAGAAAGGTATTAAAGTCTTCAAGGTGCCTCGTTGGTGAGTCATGCTCTAAAGCATTGCAGATTGACCTCAGCTGGAGCCAGGATGCAGCTGAGCAAGTAAAATTCCTGTGATGGATCCTTGTCATTCTTGCTCTTTTCATGTAGCACATGACTCTCTCATTTTGGTCTCTTAGCATGGAGTTAAAGTTTGTAAGAAATGTTGAAAAATATTTTGTGATCTGTGGTGAGTTGAGTCAAAGCTCTGTAGATCTCTGTCTACTGCACAGTTTCATGTAAACTTAGAGGACTGAACTCAAAGATTTTGTCTCTTTCAGCAGCAATTCCCCATGTGGGAGCAAAGACGGAAATAGTCAACTGAGGATTTGAATTGCAAAGGCTGAGGAGCAACTCACAGGGACAAATTTCCTAGCAAGAAGAAATGTAGAAAAAAAGGCAAGCTCCACCTTGAAACATGAAAAATGCTATTTACTTTAGAAACATCTAAATATTTCTTGTATTGTGTAAGATAAATTGCATTTTCCCCCCCTTTTGCTGAGTCTTTGTTTTCTTCAACTGTCATCTATATCAATAGTACTTTGGAAGAGCCAGAAGAGCTGGGGGACATTTGAGAAAGGGAGAGTACTAAAGTACTGCTTCTAAAGAGAGTAAATGCTCCCTACATTGTAGACACCCCCTAGTTAGCTATAACATCCTCACTTTCAAACAGCAGTCTTTTGAAACATCACTTTAAAAACTTAAGCAGATGTTCAGTCATACAAATATTTTGAGAGAGATGTAAGAAGCTCTAGGAGTTAAAATTTGGGAAGGAAATAGAAACTTGCAAATAGATACACAAATAAGGTCACTATTTAATAGGTCCACAGCAATTGCACATTGAAAAAAATGGTATAAATCCCTTCTGACAGTACATATGTTAAAGAAAGCAAAACTAATCAGTCACTGGAAGATGGGCTGGTGGTCTGATTAGCTAATGTATTTCTTCCAAGTAAAATTAAATTTTTTTCTAAAATATGCTAGATGTTACCATTAAGCCTATCAAATAAAAATTCACATGGCCATATTTTTTTCATAGCTGGCTTAAAATAACAATACTGACCTTGGCAGGAATAAATTCTTGAGATTAATGACCAGCCTGGGTTAATGATCCTTGGCTGTGCTGCTGACCTTTGTCTCCTCCCCACCAGCCATTAATCCTCAGGAAATTTATTGCATCTTGATTGTTATTACTCGCACGTGTACAAGCCTCAGAAGCTGTGGCAAACATGTAAGTGGTGCTTCGCATCGAGAACTCTTAAGACAGTAACCAAAGCAAGAACAGCTATGAAACTTTAAAAAAATCAGAAAGGTGAATCATATGATTTTGATCAAAAAATTAGTAACAGCCTTCACTGTGCACTGTTTTCTCTGTATAAGTCTTGGAGCAATTACTGAAGAACATTACAGAATATGAAAAATGTAGCCCTTGGCACCGACTGTCTAGTTCAGGCATTTCTGAAACTGCTATCAACTTTGAATTTAAATGCCAAATACAATATTTTGCCTCGATGTAATTCTTCAAAGTACCATCCATTCTCCTTTCACTGGAAATGGTGCAAATCAGAACCTTTTATGAAGGTATAAAATGAGTGGGAAGGTTTTGCTCATCAATTCTTTTTCACTACCCACCAGGCACATAGTTAACTCATGCACTTAAGTGACAGCTTACAGAGAAAGATGATGAGAGGAGACAGGGTTTGCCTAAGACCTTAAAAAAAGCCATGTATGGAGTTATAATGAGAAGACGTGAGTTTTTCTAGTTAATACTGATGTTAATGTTCATTTCTGAAGACATTTTTCCCTTGTCTGTGCTAAGGATGCAATCTTTATTCACCTGATCATGATGTATAAACCAGTTACCTTTCCTAGCACTAAGAACTTCATCAGAGTTCCAGATACAGAAACACAAAGGAATTAAAATAAACACTATGATACTCCTTTCTACAGCTTTTTGAACTGGTAGTTCTGGAAAAAAACCCCGAAACTATACAAAACACGTGGCTGAAATCAGACATAAATACTTCATGGTGTCAAAGATCTTACTGTTAAATTTGGATCTAAATAAACTTCTTTTTCCCTCCAAAAATTAACAAACAAGAAACAAGACATCTGAGTAGAAAGTCATAGAATGCCTTAGCCGTGTCAGTTAATGTGCGTAGAATTTATTTAAGCAAAGACACTTTTCCTTGCAAATTATTGGCTTTAGTCAGACCTTCCATTTTTTGTGACTTTCTTGTTCCAGTTTTTTACCAACCTAGGCACTGCATTGCCTACCAGCAGTGTTGTGCCTAAGGGACATTGAATGGAAACTGTGGAAGTGCAGTATTTTAACCAACTGCACAGATAACCAGTGAAAGATGTCAGGAATTTATTGCCCTACACACAATTGATCACAATATCTTCCCAGTATTCACAGGTCTGCCAGACTGAGAGGCAAAATACCTGAACAACAAAAATAAAACACCTACTAAATGTCTTATTTCCAGTGCAATTTCTGGATCTGGGCAGATGCAGATGGAGCAAGTGAAGGAGTGGTTTTCCCAAGAGAATAAAAAGCATCATGCAGTTACTTTATAAGGACTGTTGTGATGGTAAAAGCATTTTTAAATGACAGTAAGAAGAGTCATCTTTCTTCACACACTATATGTGATTTGTAAACCCTCCATTCAAACTATTTCCATGTAGCATAAGCTGCATCCAAAAAACCACTGAAATCTTTAAAAAGTGAATATTTTATTGATAGTTTCCCTACAACATTTTCACAACACAAAAGTACAAACAATTTGACTTTCCTCTAGTTCTAAGGGGATTTCACTGAGATAAAGTTATAAGTTCAGAAGTTAGTCAAAGCTCTGTTTTTAGTGCAAGCATAGTATCGTGCAGTGCGGGCAAAGAAGGAAGGCAACAGCTCAGAAATGACCAGGGGTGTATCTTTTGAAACCCCACGTTTTGATGAGGTAAAGATGGAAATTCTCAGCAAAATATTCAGCAAAACAGCTGAATTCAGCTAAGGACTTGTGTTCTGGTGACAGTGGCGGGGGCTGGCAGTTGGTAGCCATAACAAGAGACAAGAAGCTGAAGATTTCCAGCCAGCCTGGTTGCTAACAAAAGAAGAAGAGTGGATGAATAATCAAGGAAGGAATGGAGTCATAGAATCACTTAGGTTGGAATGACCCCTAAGAGCATCGAGTACAACTGTTATCACAGCGCCACTGTGTTCACCACTAAAAATTATCCCCAAGTGGCACATCTACACGTGCCTTTTGAATGCAATGTTAGGCACTCTCCATCTCAAATATCCTGCATCACTATTTTAATATACCAGGAAGCTTGATGTATCTCTTGGATTAATTGCTAAAGTGTGATTTTTACTTATTTTCAGAGAAATTGAAAGAACTTAATAAGATGTGAAAACAACAGAACTTGATTGTTTTGGCCAATCCATAACATGCATTGAAATGTTTGGTTCTCCACATATCTTTTGACCTTAAGACATTTCAGTAACATGAATTTATCTAAAAGTTCTTTTTTCAAATATTTGTTCTAGTGTCACAGTGACATTGGAATATGAGTGATACTTTTAGAAATGTCAGTAATGCAGGTAATAAACATTAATGATTTAACTAAAAGCAAAAAATTATACATGGCTCATCACTCAGCACTTTTCCAGCTCTACCTCTACTTCTCATTCCTGAGGCAAACATCCTCAAATATTTGGTTATTGATTAGCAACAGCTGGCTTGAAAAGACTTCTAGAAATGGAGAGCTATTTAGACAAGCAGGCAATGAAATACATTTTTGGTATTTCAACAGAGATTTCTCTTTTTCCTCCTGGCAAAAAAAGGAATATATTAATGAAGTGCTCAGGTTACTAATATATATGACATGCATGCATTCAGTATTGACAGAAATCTCAGTGCTGAGATTTTCCAAAGTACCTGAAAATGCTTGCTTAAAGGATTTTTATGGATAAATATTTGTTAATGGCAGAAATTTGATGGTTTACATAAAAAACCACATTGAGGGAAGAAGATGCAGAAGACAGAATAACAGTCTTTTTAATAGATTATCAAGGGTATTGAATTAAAATTGGCTAGGTGAATTTAAATTTTATATTCCTTAACTTTTTAATTCCTCACTCTATGACCAGAATTTATTTTTAGTGTTAGTTAAAATGCCTAATGTGCATGTAAAGGAAGAAGAAGAAAGACTAAATTAATGTACTCTAATATTAAATAAAACCCCAAACCTGCCATAAAATTAAGGGATATCTTTGCAATAAAAGCAGTTTGTCTGGAGTTCTTGATGCGAGTATTTTTCTGCATTGTTAATGATATAACAGCTTCTGACAATTTGCTCCAAACAGAACAGATAAGTTTCACATGATCTTTATTGACATCTTGCTTTATGTGTTTGCTCTGAGGAATTCACAGAAAGAAAAACAGAAGTATGATAGAAAACAAGATTCAAAGGAATAAAAAAGAATCTCACCTGACATTTGTGCAGTAGGGCTTCATCTACGCTACCAATTTATCCTTGGTCTGTAGAGGGATTTTTAAATTAACTGCTTGGCTCTGTTTTACCATGCATTGAGCCAACATATGGAGTGGTTGCAGTATGTGTGAATGGGCATTGCTTTAGAGGAAACCAAACTAGCAGCTCCTCATCAGCTGCATGCCAGGTCTTGATGGGGATACTGTGGATCATGGTGGGTTGCATTCCTCTGGGAGATCCCTTCTCCCGGCCACTCACATCAACCACTCTCCTGTCCAGTTCCAGCTTTTATATGTTTGTACCCTTCACCTGCAAAACTGATGGAGTGGGAAGGGAGTGTTTGAGGATTATGGAGGAGTTGGGACCTCTAACTCATAGCCCCAGAGAAGGGATCTATCTGGCAAGTCTATATGCCATGCAAATCCCTCCTGGTGCACTGAGCTCATGCAGCCCCCATAGACATCTCTGCACAGATGCTGCATGGAGGTCTTCTCACCTGAACATGGTGCGTGATGACCACAGGAAAGATGCCCTGCCAGCAGGAGCATGGTGTGGATCCTATCCCTGTTCCAAGTTGCAAGCTTGGGCTGAAGCACTCAAGTAAATACTAGCTGTGGAGGAGCAGCCAGTGTGGGAACTTTCTTCTCCCATCTTTATCATTCCCACCAGCAGAAGTTAAATGTCTGCCTGCCTCTGATGCCACATGCAGCTGGGGTGCAGGCCTGCTGCTCCATGTCCTCTGCCATGGAGAACCATCATGGCACCGAGCTCGCCCCTTGGCTTTGAGGGACAGGAGCTTTGCAGGATTGCTTCCTTTCCCACTTTAAGCAGGCACCCCACAGGCAGGATCCACCAAGGGGGAAGGATCAGCAAGTGGGACAGGGAGAGAAGAGTTGCTGCATTGGCTGGTGGGCCACTGTTGCCCTTGGAGGTCTAAGCTGACCACTCTCCCTCCTCCACTGCAGTGGTGGGATTGGCATGCGGGTACTGCACGTCAATATGTGGGCAGGCAGCCTGTGGTCTTCACTGCCACCCTTGTAACACATAAGACCATACCTCCATCTGGATGGAGGTAGCATGGCACTGCTATCTAATAAGATGCCTCTGGCCTTGCTTGAAGGAACTGTTAACTTCCTGGATCAAATCCAATCCCTGTCTCTGACTGCAGACAAGAGCAGATGCTTGGACAAGAACATAAGAACTGGGCAGATATGTAAGAATATTCCCATTACACTGCCCTGTCTTTCAGTTCATATAAGGGATCAAAGAAAATATTTTATTTTCTGGTCAGCTGCTCTCCCAAAATTACCTGTCAAAGGCCTGAGCAACATCCATCCAGGGCAAGTACCCCAGCCTTCCCTTCCTGATGGTGGGAGAGCAGGTCCATCACTGATGTTATAGAGGAAAGGACAACTTTGAACTCTCTCTGGTTCACAGCCTGGAAATATGGGTGCACAGGAGCCATGGAGGGTGGAGGGAGTAGTGAGAAAGGGTTGCACACATGATTCACAAAACATGGCTACCACACACAAAGGGCTGCTGACATGATTCACAGAATCACAGAATATTCTATGTTGGAAGGGACCCACTGGGATCCTTGAGTCCAACTCTTAAGTGAATGGCCCATATAGGGATCAAATTCATGACCTTGGTGTTATTAGCACTGTGCTCTAACCAACTACATGGAGCATTTGACATAGATGAGTCTTGGACAGGTCTCTATAGGGGTCTTCTCTGACCTGTTTTCTAGTAAGGAAATAACAAAGATTCTCAAATCTACCATTACACCCAATTCTATCCCCTAAGGGGATCCATCCTCCCATCCAAGCCAGGATCAGTGTCACTGTGGTCATTCCTGACAAATGCCTACATGGTGTGTCCTTAAAGATATCCATGATACATGCTCCATAGTTTTCTAAGCAATCTACTACACGTCTATATTTTTCTTGAAACCAGAATGGACTATTCAAAATGCCTGTCCCAAACAGCTTTCATTTCAGTCCAAGTCTGTGACTCCTTGTTGTTTTCATCAAAGGCACAGAGAAATAAGATTCCTCCTTGCAGTGTATCCTGTAGTGAAAGATTGTTATCATGTCTGTCACTTAGGGCACCTACCTTTGAATTGTCTCAGAGTGTGTGCATGTATGCATATTTTGTCTTAAGGCATAATCTCCAAAAAAGATTCCACTTGAGGAGTACATGTTAAAATCTATAGCAAGGACTGTACAGAAATTCCTTCCCAAATAAAACTGTAATTTAGTGCTTCATTATTTGCTGCCCGTTTGTGTAGATCATGGTTAAATACAATCACACCAATTCACAATATATGGGCCAGAACAAGAGGAAAACAATTAGTCCTTCTGTTCTATTCACATCACATTTACTGGGCAGAAAAAGTTCCTTTCTTCATGCAGGAAGATTTTTTTAAAGGGTTTCTTTTTTCTCTCTAGCCATGCCAACATTCCTTTCACATGAGAAAACCTGAACAGATTTAAGCCCTCGTTCAAAGCAGGGTTTGTAGTACAAGCATGCTACAGTTGTCAACACAGAACGCCCAAACATACGGGGGCAAAAATAGACCGGGCAGAGCTGTCACTAGCTGGTATTGCTAAACTGCTCATGGGAGCAGGGAGTGAAACTATTTTTATGAACACCCAGCCAAACTCTTAGAAGTCTCGGAAAGTCTATATTCGAAGCAATTATATGACTGTGTTACATCTTGGCTAGTTACGGCAGTCATGTTAAATAATGAAATTATTCAGCCATTTCCCTTGGTGTGGGAAATGGCCCCAGATGGTCACCCTCATCCATTTCATACCACTGTAGTGCAGCAGCATTTCTTAATAAGAGCATATGGGGAAAAATTTGAAGTGAAGTGTGACTGGCTTTATACTGCAGTTCATTTAAAAAAAAATAAACAAACTGCAGGAATTCCTCAAATTTTTTATTCCACAAATATTCTGTAAAATTCTTGTTATATCCAGGCTCTTGCAACGTAATTTTAGAAGTAGGTAAAGAAAATAAGTGTTGTAAAAACAGATCACTATTCTGTTGGACTAATGAAATGAAAAGTGGTAAAAATAGTGTTGTCTGTAGGATTTAAGATATATATTCAATAATTAAAAAGTTCAAGCTCTATAAATACAATTTACCTCAGCACACTTTTGCTTCATCTGCTTGGATTCTGCTGGTTAATTTTATAACACAGCCAGGGAAACAAGAGTTATTATTGAAATTCCACCTGTCCCCACTAGTGTGTATCCAAAACCAATGCCAAGTTTATCATGATGTCAAAATGAATCAGAATTAGCCTAAGTGCAAGCATTTGGTGTTGTCCAGACACTTAGAAAAAGGAGAAAAGCTAAACTGGGCTGAATTTTGCTTAGGGAAAGTATTATGCAAAAATGAGGTGCTACGATTTCTGCTGAATATTCATTTCAGAAAATTATTTTGTTGTCTTTCTCATACAGTGTGGGACACTGTTATGTAGTGGAAATGTTTCCTAAAACATTTGGTAAGGCAAAGCTTCTCCACCACTGAAGTAGTCATGGTACCAAGCCTGCCAGCGTTCAAGAAGTCTTTGTCCAAATGCTCTCAGGCACATGGTGGGATCCCTTGGCCTGTCTTATGAAAGGCCAGGAGTTGGTCTCGATAATCCTTGTGGGTCCCTTCCAACTCAGGATACTCTATGATTCCATTAAATCAGTGTCTTTAAAAGTATTATTTCCTGTGAGTGGAAGTCTGTCTTCAAGAGCTACCCCATAAAGTCTTCTGATTTAGGATGCTGGGCCCTTCTTCTAAACCCCAGCATCCTCTTCCTCTTCCTCTGGTTGCTGCTCAGTAATGTCTGGCAGTTCCCCACAGTCCCCTACAGAAAAGTCAGGCTTTGCAGATTTAGCAAGTCTGATGTCCCTGGGGGCTGAAACCAACCTCCCCATGGAAGATATCACCCTGTGTGGGTGAAGGGATGCTTAAGGAACAAATTACAAGGGAAAAACAAGTGTATTCGGGGAGAATTGCTTTGTGGGTATGCGTGTGTGTGTGTGTGTACATGAGAGATCTTGCACAGGAAATGTCAAGAGCAGAGGCAGAAATACATCAGGATGAAACTGGAAGAAGTTATGAGCTACAGTAGAAAACCTGAACAGTTTTTGAAGAGGATACAAACTCTCTTCTACCTAGTGACAATAAATCAGTGATTGAAGGAACAGCAAGGATGTTAACCATTAGTACAACTACCCACAATACACAGTTTTTGGTGGCAATGGTTCCATTAGTTCCATTAATGGAGAACTAGGTTACTAACTCTTGGAAAGGCTGGAAATAACATGATGCTCACAAGTCTTTTGCAAGGCACAAATGATTTAATGGATGATTTCTATGGCCTATTGTTCTGCATTTCAATTGCTGAGTCACCTCTTTTAGTGTCCATAAGGTTTATTAAGATCAGAGCTTCTTTCTGGTTGCAATTAAATTGATTCATGTAGTAATTAACATGCAGCTAATGAATGGATATCTTTCCCCTGAAAGAGATATTTAGATGAGGATACTCAATATCAATTTGGGCAAACTTATTAAGAGGATACAGGACCAAAAAAACAAAAAAAGGAAAAAAAAAAGGAAGGAAAAGTTCCAGTATTCTCTGGCAAATAAATCTGTAATGACCAAATGTTGATGGCTGTAGTAGCGTTTTGATAAACAGTGTTTAGAGTTCCTTTAGTGTCTAATTTGCCAGTATACTGTTGTTCTTTGAGAGTGTAGAATTCAAATACCTAAACATTGGAAACATACTGTAATTAAAATTACTGCTTTATTGATGGGTAGTTTGTGAGTTATGTCATACCCCACTCCAGCAAAACTGGAAATAGTCCTAATGTTTATACTTAAATACAACTTAGAAATGAAAAATAAGTGCAGTCTATTACAAAGCAGGGAAAGCATCTGTATGGGTCAGAGAGTATAAGCATAGAAATATATGGGATTTTGATTTGAAGCTCAAAGAATATTTATTTTTTAAAACATTAGTATTCTGAAATCTACATAATTTCCTTTGCCAGGCTATAAGAGATCATCCTTTATAAGTTCCTAGGAGGCCACTGATCAGGCTGAAGGTTCAAGGACCTGCCTTAAGATTTAGCATTCCTAACACAATGTCATTACACAGGCAGTAGAAGGTGCTCTTGTAACAGCAAACGATGTTGCTTGATTTGACCAGTTAGAGCTCAGAATCATCCTGCCCCTCATGTAGCCCAGCATCCTGTGTTTCAAAAGCCATGGAGCCAAAATGATTGCACAATCTGATTGTTTTTAATCAAGCAAGGCCAGATTTAGTTGCATTGAAGTGTATAGAGAGAGTTATACCGCTCAAATTTTCACTTGATCTCTTGGGTATCTTGAGATAAAGATTTCTAAATTGTATAAATATATCCTATTTTTGCTAGGATTGCATGGGCTTTTATGCATGAAGAATGGTGTGGGAGATTTGAACAGGAATAAGGAAATAAAGGTCAGTATCATGTGGAACACTAGTGTTGGCATAGCTCTTCTGTTCTCTGTACCTGAGAGGCAAGTTTTGTAGGATTTCCTCACTGTTGCCTGGGATTACAGTTACTGGATAGTAGTTTTCCAAAAGTTCATTTCATGTCTTATCCTCACCTAGATTTTTCCGTAAGACTTAACCCCTGCCCCAGCCCTTCTCCTCAAACACTACCCAATGTCTGATACGATCTACCTGTAAAACACAACTATTACTGTCTTTTCTACCTTATCTTGACTCTCCAAGAAGTTCAAGCCTCCCATAAATTCTTCAGCAGAATTCCCTCGTGGTATGGGGACTTGCCCCATTGCTTTTGCTCACTTTCTCAAGTCCTCTATCTATGACACCTGGTTTATCGTTCAGCCAGGGAAGTTCTGACAACTCTGATGGCGCAGAATATATCTGTTAAATAGAGTAGAGAAGTTAATTTCTACTAAGTATGGTTTTTCTACATATCCATTAGGATAGATCGGTGTGAAGCATTTTTTTACTGCTTCACAGTGTCAGATGTTTGGAAATCTATGCCTGCAGTCTTCAAAAACGGGAGCTGCACTTTTTCCTGAGTAGCTGTTAATGGTGATGGAAGGAAACTCAACTGTTTTTCAATTGTTTTAGCACCCTGTCTGGTAGCTGAGAGCATGTTTTTACCTGAGCATTGCACCTACAAAAAAGCCTCGAGTTTCCAAGCCCTTTCATATTGCTAGGTAGAACCAAGCATGCAAGTGAGAAAAAAAGCTTGCAACTGGTTGTCGATGGTTTCTGGTTCCAGTGGTTGGGACATGGATCTCGGCACTCGGAGAAATGAGATTTATGGAAGAGAAACAGATAAGTAACACATGCTAAGT